GCGACAACCAATGCCGGAGCGGGGCGGGGCCGGCCCGCGGCGCGGGGCAAGGCAGAGGCCCCGCCCCCGTTTAAAGCGACAGGCGCGGGTCGGGGAGGGGTGGAGGGGGGTGTCTGATCCCGCCGGCCCCCGTCTGTGCTGGGGATGGGGCTCGGGGAGATCCCCGGCAGGAGGGGCGCTGCCCAGACTCATCCCGCTCCGTTACCCGGGGTTCTTTATCATCAGGTCCCGCGCCTGCACCGAGTCGCGCTCCGGAGCCGCCGCAGTGCCGTCGAAGCCTCCCTCCCACAGGGGGAGTTAATTGGTTTAGTGTGCAAAGCGCCTCAGGAGCAACCTGAGGGAGATTAGGTCCCGGGTTTGGGATGAGGGGCTGTTAGCGGGGAACACGAGGCTGCCCAGTGGCGTCGAATACAGATGAAGTCACACCACCTCCTCACGATTCCAGGGGTGGGGGAATGCCGGCAAGGCTGACAGCTCCGCACATGTGCACTGGTTTTCATTTCTACCTCCATCACAAAGGGCCATCCTGCCTCAGACCCATTTGTCTCACTGGGTGTTTCACAAACTATGGCTGAAATTCATCATGAGTTCTGTTTCAAGTGTAACGTTTAATTAATGCAGTGTTTCCTCAGCTTTGGCGCTTCAAATCCCTGCCTGTATTTTCCTGAAATTAAGCTTTAACCCTTTTTTTTTTTTTTTTTTTTTTTTGGTGCCATTTTCAGTAAATTATCAGTCAAACCTCGGAGCTCAGCTGAGGGTATTCTCGGTTAATCCAATTCCTTCAGCTTCAAAAAAGTAACAATTCCTTGTGCTCTTCCAGAACACTGTAAGTCTCTGTTATCTGAGAGAGATGCCACTCATCTGTGAGCATGCAGTGAGCTCAGGGGGAAACCCTGCCCTTTCCCCGGCCAATTAGCTCTTTAGGCGGAAGACTGGCAGGATCTGTCATACACTTTACCAGTCTAATCACTAAACCACCACACATTAACACAAGTATTTCCTCTGCCTTGATATCAAAGGGTCCCAAGCATGATGAATACTCTTACAGACAGACCTCTAATGGGAAGTAGAGCTAAGGGCATAACGTTCTCATGAGGATACTCTGCTTGCCATATAACTTTTTCACTTTCTTCAGGTCTTCAACAGTTGAAATACTCAGAAATACTGATCTGTAGAGCTTCACTTCAAGATCTTTCGAGCTGTTCACTGGAATAGTAAAGATATAAAACTGTACCTCTTCTGCTCAAATGTCTGACCCCAAATACTTGGTCCCCTGGTTACAAAGGACCCTTTAGTTGAACCTCCAGACAGCCTGAGGCCACATCATCAGTGCCTTCAACACCCGAGTTTCAGTTCGGGCATCTAGTCCTAGCTGCTACCACCTCAGGATGGGGAGACCTACTTCCAAGGACATGCACGGAGAGGCAGGACTGAATTGAGAGCAGATAACGCCTACATGCAGGGATCTGGCAGTTTGTTTTTATGTAACTGTCTGGTGCTTCTGTCTATTTGAAGCTTCATTTGTTTATATTCTCCTACAGCAAGAAAGAAGATAAGAGGGTTTGATGGGGTTTGGAATTTTTTTTTTAAGTTTAAAAACAAGCCTCAAGGTTTTACAGAAGCCTGCAGAAGTTTTCACTCAACAAGCACAACCTGAACTCCCCCCTCTGCTATTTAAAGACATAAATGGAAACTAGTTTAGGTACACTAGGAACAATGGGAACAATTCCAAAGCAACTTCAGACCCAGTTGTGAGCACAAATAACCTCAATCCCACATGAACAAAGGGAGTACTTACCACCTCCGTCTTCCTGATAATATTTGTACCCCAAGCCTAGCCCCAGGTGTCTTATCCAGTGGGAAGAAGGAAGATATGCTTCAAGGGGGACAAAGCAGAATAATAGGCTTTTATTGGCCTAATTAACATTAAGAAAGTGGAAAATCTCTCTAAAAGGATATATTATGGGGAACCTGGTGAGAAAAGAGCAGTCCGCCTGGTGTGTACCTTGTGTAATGGTGTTCGGTACGCCTTAGGAGAACTGGGGTGTAGTGCTGCTTTCTTTTCTACTCTACTACTTAGTATGATTTCCTTAGAGAAAAACAATTATTTTTACTTGCCTCCAAAATATGAACACACTGTACAAAGCAGGTACCAATTCTCACCCTCACTAAGTACTGGACTATGATCATGGTATCATTTGGACTATCTTGAATTAATTTCTTTCAGGATTTTAGTTTCTACAGAAGTGGTGGAGATCATCTTCATTAGCAGACTGATGAAGCATTCCCAGAAAGCTCTTTGTATCACATCCCTCAGAACTTTACAGTTTCTGAATCCTGAACAAGTTTAAGTAGGAGATACATGCCTTGGTGCTCAGCTTTGCCATGGCATTGCTGGGATACAATGTCTGTGGAACTTCAAAAGCCAGGTGTCAGAAAGCCTTTGAGAAATTATTTTTTAGGTGACAGCTAAGCCGAGTCAGCTCATTTTTTAGTATACAGGTTTTAGTCAGAGGTTTTAGTATGCTGAACTTTGACCTAACTCCCCTTAAGTGAGTAATATAGTTTGTCAGGGTTTTTTTCAGCCTGTAACCACTGCTTACTTTCATTTAGGCTCTAGTTTTTTGTGGCGAGATCAATTACAGTATGACTTGTATTTGCCCCTGGAGCCATTCCCCCTTGCAGAGGGCTTCCCTGCTGCCCTTTTGCAGGATCTCTAGCAAATGAAAGGGTTCTGCTGAGCTGGGTCTCTCTGTTGGCTGCTGTATTTGGGTTCAGGAAATTCACATCCTCTCCTGTTGCACGGTTGTGTTGTGCATAGTGATGAATGGATTCAACTGTTCGGTTTAACAGATACATTTATTGATCTGGTATCTCTAAACAGCTCCACACATTGAAAGAATGAGATACCTGTGAGATATGTGGTGAAGGGATTACTGTGGGCGTGGTGGCCTGCTGATGGGGTGATAAGCTATCTATCTATAGGTTGTAGATGATCCCGATCACTGCAATTCAGGTGGAAGTGATCTAGGGTCTCACAGTTCTATTCTGCCCTTGGCCTTTATAATCACTGTATTTGTAACTTTTTATATTCCTCATTTACATATAAAGTGTCTGCCCCCCCATTAATGGCGGCAGCTAAGAGAATATTTGACTACATTCTCACCTCCACTTCTCCAGAAGAGTATAATTTGGCATTTAAAATCCTCCATGGCAGAAGATGAGAATACAACCACCTTGCAGACAAGTCTTGCTCTCCTTCCCCAAAGTATGGATGCCTCTTTGGTAAGATCTGTGCCTCTGGAGCATACTTGGAAACACTTGTACATGATGATATACATTTATATTTTGCCGGTCTAGTGAATCACCACCAATCTAAAAGAATCTAAAATCTGTTGCTGCACTGCACTGTTTGTGAGTCTGTGTTCATGCAAGTTCTTTTGAACTTGACCAGACTGTTGCATTGATAAACTGCACTTTTTGTGAATATCTAATCATGAATGAGACCAGACTTACACTGTAACCCACTGTATTGGTGCATCTGGGATCTTACTGAATGCAACCAAACTTACAGTGCTGAATTGCTTATAATAAAAAATTAAGCCTAGTTGCACCCAGCCTCCCTGAGGGCTAGCTGGAAAGCAGGAGGGTTTATTTTCTGCCAAATTTCTATTCTCTTAACTCAATACAGGGCTCTGTAATAGCTCTGCAGATAACGCTTGCATACTGATTTCAGAGAGACTTGAACTACCCTTATATCTACACTGTTCATTATACTCCTTTGTATCAGCTATTAATAGTCATAATGACTACCCTGAATAGATTTTTATCTTGTTCCTGTTTAGCCAGCTCTGAAAGGAAGCTACAGCTAGTTAGGCAAAGTGAAATGACAGTCTGTCAGAGACAGTGGCAGCCAGAACTCCTTACCCTCATCCTTCCATTGTCTTACACAGAAACTTGTCCCTCAAAATTCTCTTGTTGCTACATGCCTTGGTTCTCACCCTTACCCATATTTGAGCTCCATTCTAAATAATTATATTTACATGATCTTTTGTGCTGGCTACAAAGCCATATGCAAGGACCTACTCCAAGTGTGTTCAAGTTAGGCAACTCTCAAGTGGCTCTAATTTGCCACGTGATGCCTATGCCCAGAGGACATTGCAATTAAATAGGCTTTTACCAGACATAGCAATTTGGTTATACCAATTTCTTTTCCTAAGAAAGCAACCTGAAAAAATGTGAAAAAGAATGTGTTTTCCTGAAGGTGCCTTGTTCCAGAATTTCAATCAAAATGTTCCTTTGCAGGAGCTGGAAATGGTTCTTCAAAACTTGTTCTGTGAAAATGAAAGGGAAAAAGAAGAAATGCCACCTGCCCTTTGGAAGAGCAGAGAGAAAATTCATGGCGGACTTGCCCTTTCCTTGCCAAAGTCATTGCAAGTAGAGGGGATCCAATTCTTCTTTTTTGGTAGGAGACAGCTAGTACAGCCATCTTTTGTTTCTAGTGTGACAACCTGGTTTATTTCTTCCTCATGGTGTAGATTGGATTTTGTAGAGAAGTAACTGAAGCTCACAACTGGAATGAGATCCTGTACTGCACCTGGCTTGTGACACAGACAGCATGGCTCTCACTGAACAATGCATAATTAATAATATGTTCTCATTTTTAGTCATCTGCAACAAAGAACTGCGAGCCCCAGGGTCTCTTTTATACCGAGAAAAGTACTGATTTCCCAGAGCTAGCTGAGGTGTCAGTACAAATATAACTGTTACCAATACACCTTTACAAATAGTAATAAGATTAACTCTGGAGTTCACTTCTGCCAAAGTTGGAAATTGTAGCTAAGGGTGTATCATTCCTAGGAAGGATAACTCCCAGAGGGGTGTTGTGTTTTTGGTTTTTTTCTTCTTCTTTAAATTCTAGTAATTGGAGCTGAGAAAATTAAAAAAGGTTAAGTAGGTATTACCTTCTTTCGTCTCTTCTTTGCTGCAGTGAAAGGCCTTCTGCTCTGGGCTTGTTTTGGAAATTTCTGAGTTTCCTTAACGCAGAGGTTTGCACTTGGAAACAGTTGATCTTGCACTATGACTATTACTGTCCAGTTAAATTTGATATACTGTGAAACTGGTTCACACTTTGATCAGGGACATAAAGATGAATCTCTTCAACTGTAGTGGGGCTGTGACTGACCAAATGAAATTGTCCCAATGGTGGCAGCATAACACAAGAAATAAAATATGAAACTATGAAGGGTTTCCTCTTCAGTAAGGTTTTTAGGCTGAGTCATCACAACCAAAGAGATATCCTTGTTCTTTGGGGGTGGAGTTTTCTTTAAAACCAAAGCACGGCACTTATCTTACTGTAAAACTGGAAAGGAAAATATTTTATTTTTTATGGTCAGACAACCAGACAAGGTCAGCATTTCACATGAGATGGACCTTGTCTGCCAGGCATCTGGTTAAAATCCTCTGCTAGGACTTCAGAATAGGAAGGTAACATGCATTAGGGATCTTGCATTAAAAAGAGGTGTTTTTTAGATGTGAAAGCAAAACAAAATTTACCATCTGAAATTTACTAGGTGCAGTTACTGCAAATGAATAGAGGCATAATTATGCAGCTATAAAATATCTGACTTTAACAAGTAAGCTCTTTTCTAGCTTAAAAAAATAAAAATCCCATCCTGTCAAATTTTGTGTGGGGATTTGTACGTTCTGATAATTTCCTAATTGTATATCATTGTACGTTTTCTAATTTTCTCACCTGGGGCTAGGCCTGCATGTTCTTGCATTTGTCGAAAATCCATACATGTAAAAAGCAGAAAAAAAAATGTAATCAAATTTGTCAAATATAACAATTTACTGGTGAGGGCTTGCAACACCTGGGACCAGTCTGAAGAAACAGAAATATTCAGCACAGGGAGAGTTAAACATTGGTGATTTGCAAGGTTTTCGTCAGAAGCATCTTCCTTTTCTATGACTCTTCAAGGGGATGTGTACCCATCCCTCTTATCTTAGCGAAGCAGCTGGGCTACTGCTGCCATAAATCAGGAGTGAAACCGAGGGATGGTGATGGGTAAGACTTATGGCAGGGCGGTGGTGGTGCCTGGTGAGAGGGAGCAGACCAGGTTAAAATGAGGCGCTCTGACTCCCTGCGGGAAGGAGAGATGGGGGACACGAAGCCTGCAGTGCGGCTGCGACGGAAGGGATGGGGCAGTGCTGATCCCTGTGGGGCAAATCCTTGTCCTGGGGGTGGGAACCCTCACCCCAACAGCTCAACATGGAGCAGCTGGGAGGTAAGTGTGGGGATGGGTTCAGGGTGGGAATGCTGGCACTGGGTGTTATGTTACACCCTGCCCCTGAAAGCCACTGGTGCTAGAGTGGGTCAAAGCCACAGGAGCTCCTTGCACACAACAGCCTCTCAAATGCAAGTCTTGGGATGCCTTTCTCTGCCTGGGGAGTGGAGGCTTTTGCTAGCAAACAGTAAGGTGGCATCTTCAAGTGCAGTCGTTATAGGCGGAGTTTTTAGGTGTTCCTCTTGATCGTATTTTCGATCCTGTACACTGGGCTTGGGCACATGGGTGATGGCACAGGCAAGATGCTGAAGCTGCTGTGTAGGAACCAGCCTGATTTGTGTCCCTCACTGCCTGTTTCCCCGGCATAGCCCCACCAACACTACTGGGCTTCCCCCATGCTTTAGAGCAGCCCCAACTATGCAAGGTTTGAAAAATGCAAAGTAGTTTCTAATGAGTCACCACGGAAGAAAAGGGTGGGATGAGCAACTGAGAGCTCCCCCCAAGACTACAAAGGTGCTTTCAGGCCAGTGATCTGCTTCACACCCCTGCATGGGGCAATGCAACAAGTTCCCCATGTTTCTTCCTGCATTTGAGGTAGACTAGCACTTGTTGCCTGGCTGAGGTCCCTGAGGAGCTCTCATTTCAGGGACTATTGGTACACTGTGCCTTTAGTGCCCCATGCTGACTGTGAGGGTGAGGGCTACGGACAACCAACGTGGAAGAAGCCCATGGGACTTGCACCTCATTGATTCATCCCTTCTGGAAGGAGATCTCACTTCAGGTGCCCCCCTCCATCAGCAGCTGCTTTTTGAGAAAGGTCACTCAGTTTCCCTCTCTTTTGGTCTTGGAGACACTTAAAATAGCAGATGTAGCCACAGCCACAGCAGAGGGCAAAGGAGTATTTTTGCTCATGTCTCTGCTTGTGTGGGACTAGCTGTGTGCTTATAGGTGCATTTTCAAGCTGGTGGGCAGCCAAGGAACCAGTGTTGGTGGTGCCATCTTCCAGAGCTGGGATCAGTGTTCTCCAGCACCTTGTGCACCTGCCTTTTGTCATGCATAGGTCTTGGTTTTCCTCACCCTTTAGGAAGGTTTAGGAAAAGAAAATAGAAAAAAAACCCAAGCCACCATCAAAAAAAAAATCAGATTAGGGATGCTCAGTGGGTCATTTCTAAAGGAACTGCTTGCCATACCTGACAGTGCCTACACAACTGCAAAAAGTTGAAAGCCTCCCCTCAAAAAACAGCTTGGGACAAAAAGTGGACATCCGGTGGTTCCTGAGCTATCTGCCTCAAAGGAGCCAGGCACAGTGTCTCTGCAATAGTGAGATGGAAGCTGCCAGCAGTGGATGGCTGATCATCATGGACGTTGTCATGGAGAGGTGGTGTCCTGCAGGGAGCATTCACTCAAGGATGTACCCCAATGGCAGTGGTGCATGATCACAGAGGTTTCCCCTGTGACCTGCAGCACCTTGCCCTCCACGTCCTTTTTCCTTTAGTTTACTAGGTTGGTTGTTTGCTGTTACATGTATTGGATGTACCAAACTTGCAATAGAAGCAGCTCCTCTCAAATGCCACATTTCCCACTCTTTGTATTTCCTTTTGGACTTGCCTTGGCTTTCAGAGACTTACATACCCATCAGCACATACACAGTACTGCATAGTTCACACAGCATCACAGAGGCTGAATGGGTATGATGGTGTGTGTATCAAAATTTCCTACATCCCTAAGTTTATCAGTCAGAAAATCAAATGTTGGGGCATTTGCGTGTCATTATCGCTTACCTATTTTATTCGCTTAGCTTTATTAGCTAACTAGGCTCATTTAATCCTCAGCATTCACTAATCCAAATTAGAGATGGGCCCAAACTAGGATCTGGGTGCCAGTTAGGAGCCAACAAGTTCTTACCAACATGCTGCCTCCGGCAGTCACCACAGCTGATCATGGTGCATGGGACTGCAGGAGCCCCCATGAAACATCGAGGAAGTGCCACACCCACATCACCTCTGTCCTTATGCCCTACAGGCAACTGAGAAGCAGATCAGTATCTAAATGCATCATTTGCTTTGCAATGGTCTACATATACCTGAAGTGCTATACCGTGCCCCTCCAAAAAAGAGAGAGAGTTGTTTTTTGCATCTTTCTCTGTGGGTTACGTCAAACCATCCATAATGGCCAGAAGAGCCCCTGACAATTACAGCTCTTGCATCTTGTTGTCCTTTGCAGCTGCGTCTTGTCCCTTTGGCTCATTCTGAACATGGCATGGTGACAAACCCACATGCTGTAGCCATTAGTCACAAGTACTTGTAGCAAGAAATTATGCCCAGATGAAAAAGTGAGCTTGTTCTGCAACAGCCGTGGTCAGGCCCTGGACAGGCCCTCGTACTTGTTTCTGACTTGGCTGTTAAAATGGGCTTCTCGTATCTTCTCTGCTTCCGCATCCACAGGAGAGGAATAGTGGTATGCAGAGAGTCTGCAGGTGCTTTGGCATGTCCCCATGAACATCAGGTCCAAGAATCCATCATTGCTTTCACCAAAGCTACAGGGCTGAAGGCCGAAGTATTAGTGGTCTCCTCTGGATCCCATACCATCAGTGTTGCATCTCAGCACAGGGTTGCACTGAGGGACCTGATCAGCACTTGCCTCCTTGTTGTTCTCAAAGACACGTCTTCCACTCAGGACTCTACCTGGTCTCCATCTTCCCATGTAGTAGGAAAGGGTTTTACCTTCTGCAGGGCTGGCACCATTGACGAGACATTCTGCATTCCCCTGCAGGGAGGCAATGGGCTCCTGGTAACCTGTGCAGGCAGGAGGCTCCACATGGGCCTCCTATAGCGTTTTCCTAAGCCTGCTTTTCTGTTCCTAGCCAGGCATCCCTGACTCTGCCAAGATGTGGATGCTTAAGGTGCCAGCTCCTCTCACTGGAAGCTAATAGCTAGCTCCCTGAACAAAGAAAATCCAATTTGGCATCAAAAAGGAAACAGCCTAATTCTAGTCTCTCATCTTTTTCCCTGCTGGTTCAGTTCATCAGACTTTTTGCTGATTTATACCTTGGATGAAAGAAGAGTTTCAGACCAAAGGTCATTCTCCTGTCAGGTGTGGATGTAGGCATGTCCTTACTGTAACACAGAATGAAAGGCTTTATGAGCCAAGGATGTTCACAAAGGGAGGGAGACGTGGAACTCCTGGAGCAGGTCCAGCAAAGGGTAACAAGGATGATTAAGGGATAAGGATAGGCTGAAGGAGCCAGGCCTGTTCAGCCTTGAGAGGAGGCAACTGATAGGGGACTTCATCAGTGTCTATCAGTATCTAAAGGGAGGGTGTCAAGTGGAAGGATCCAGGCTCTTCTCAGTGGTGCCAAGCAACAGGACAAGAGGCAACAGACAGAAACTGATGCACAAGCAGTTTCATCTGAATGTGAGGAAGAACTTTACTGTGCGTGTGACTGAGCACTGGAACAGATTGCCCAGGGAGGTTGTTTAGTCTCCCTCACTGGAGATATTCAAGGTCTGTCTGGACACAATCCTGTTTGATGTGCTCTGGGATGACCCTGCTTGAACAGGGAGGTTAGACCAGATGACCCACTGTGGTACCTTCCAACCTGATCCATTCTGTGATTTTGTGAGTGCTCACATCTATATGCAATGCTGTGGGCAGTGGTGGGCCAAGGACCTAGCTGCCTGGGGAATGAGACTACTTCTGGCAAGCCTCTTTGATAGAATGTTTGTAAAAGCCTGATGGCACCTTATGATTTTTTTTCCCTTTTTCTTCAATAGGACCACTAGAAAATAAAATTATTGTCGTTTCCTTTGCTGTAGCAGACCTTAAAGGGGAAATTAACTCAGGAGCTGATGCACTGCTCATTGAATTCAGTGGGGCTTTTTCTGCCAGCTTCAGTGGAAACTCTGAAACTGGCTCTCTATCGAAGGTGACTTTGGTTTTCTGTGGTTATGTGAGACTTTCCTCCCATTTATCTGTGGGGAATAGCTTTGGGAGGCTTCAGAGCTCAGATGAAATATTTGCTGTAGCTGGTCCTCAGTTTATTTTCTTCCTTGCATCATGACTGTTCCTCTTTTACAGTTGGCAGCTGTAATCATCGCTGGCCTCCTCCTGCTCTACATCCCACTGTGCTATGAGAATTTCCATTTCCACGTGGCTCATTTGTATGCTCGCCTGGGGTACCCCAATGCCCAGCACATCCTGGGACAGAGGTATTTACAAGGTAATGTTTCTCCAGTCCATGGCTAACTTGCTGCCAGAGTAGGTATGCTTATAAGCCAGAACTACAAACATGGCTCTGTGGTATGTGGTACCACCACACTGCTGGATTTTGGATGCTGTGTTCTATAACCTGTCTGTGACTTTGATACCTTGTCTCACACCCAGGAACCGGAGTGGAAAAAAATGATGACATGGCTATGCACTGGTTCAGGTGAGGCACAATTCTTGCCGTTGGAAATTGGCTTCTTCTGGCAAAAGGCTACTGTGGCATGGGAGAAGGAAGAAGAGCTGGCAGTGCTTTGGGGGACAGCTGCACTGAGCTGTCCTGTGGCAGCGGGAGGGAGGTTCACAGGTGGCAGCAGGGAGATCTGGGGCTCCCAACTTCTCACTGTGGGTCATACGCTTTGCTCCACTTTCTCCACCTACTATTGCTATTTTTTTAAATCAGTGAAAGAAAGAAAGTGTCTCAGCAGCAAGAGTGCAGAGAATGCTGGTTTTGCTGAATAGCCTTTTGGGGAGGTTTGAGCTGCAGGTGGGCAGCAGGGAAAATGCACAGGCGCAGGAGGGGAGTGAGCCAGGAACTGCTGAGGCAATGGAAAATCAAGGTACAGCAACATATTAATTTCCTGCTCTCAGCACACCCTCCCAAGAGGTTTCTGCCACATAAGCGAGGCAGCCATGCCTGTGTGTGCATTTGCTGTGGTACCCACAGTGGTCACACCTGTGGTAGGAGCCTGGGCTGCCCCTAAAATCCTAACACTCTTGGTGAGAAATGGAAAGAATGAGAGATGGGGGAAGTTACTGTGCTACCCAAAAAGAGAGGGGAGAGGAGGGGAGCACGTTAGATGTTTCCTCTGTGTCTGCTCAGGACAGAACAGCATCAAGCTACAGGAAGGGCTGAAATAACTATGCCTGTAACAGCAGGAGCTGTAATCAAAGAAGGCATCATTAAGGACATCCCTACCTAGAGAAATGCTGAAGCCTTCGTGCCTTTCTGAATAAAGATGTTTTCCAAATCAGGGCCTGAACATTTCGAAGGAGTCACATTTCAGAACAGTGAATTATACATATCTTCTTCCTTATTTGCTCTGTCGTGGTTTAACCTCATCTAAGCAACTAAGTACCACACCACCGCTCACTGATTTCCCCACTCCCCTCCCAGCCCTGTGGGATGGGGAGGAGAATTGGAAAAAGGTAGAACGTGTGGGTTGAGAAAAGAGCAGTTTAATAATTGAAATAAAGTATAACAATAATAATAATAATAATAAAAGAGAGGAATAAACCCCAAGAAACACAAGTGATGCCCAATACAGTTGCTTACCACTCATTGACCAATGCCCAGCCTGTCCCCAACAAGTGATGGGCAGCTCCTGGCCAACTCCCCCCCAGTTTATATATTGAGCATGACACTATGGTGTGGAACATCCCTTCAGCCAATTTGAATCAGCTGTCCTGGCCATGCTCCTTCCCAGCTTCTTCTACACCTCCCCACTGCCAGAACACGGAAAACTGAAAAATCATGGATTTAGGGTAAGCTCTGCTCAGCAGCAATCAAAACATCAATGTGTTATCTACATTATTCTCATACTGAATCCAAAGCACAGCACTGTACCTAGCTACTAGGAAGAAAAGTAACTCTACCTCAGCCAAAATCAGGACAGCTCTTACCTCATTTGGAAACATTCAAACTCAGGTTTTCTTCTTCTGTATGTCTCTTACCATTGACTTTACTTGTCTCTTCCCCCCTGTAGGCAGGCTGCGGGGCAGGGCCATCCCCACTCCTCCTTCAACCTGGCGGTGGGGGCACTCAGAAACATGACCATGGCACTTGAAGAAGGGTAACCTGAGTTAATCGTCTTCCTTCCCATTACAGCTGCATTCCCAGCTCCTCCTGGGGAGGTGGGGGGGAAACTGGTGCTGTAAGTACTCCACGCATGAAGCTACTCTGGCATTTCTAATGCCCTCTTCTTGTAATGTCAGTAATGCAGCCCTACCTGCAGAGGAAAACCAAAAACTCCAGTTAGTCCAATGAGATTTTAAAAATTAAGTGCCACAGTACACAAAATTCCTGTGGTCTGAATGCATGTGTATTTCCATCATGATTTCCCAATCAAGGCAAGGGACAAGACCCATACTGGGATAGAAAGAGCTATTGAAGTGACATGTGAATTTTCTGCTATAAAGACCTGTCTTTCTTTTTGGGGGGAACTCCCTTTTCACTCTTATTCCCATCCAGTGAAGTCAATGAGAAGTTTCCTGTTGCCTGCCTGGGGGTTGGGTTGAAACCACTCAGGACACATTTTTCTCCCTAATGTGCCTGTGCACACTTCACACCAGTGTTCCCAGCAAGGCCCACAGCCAAAGAAAACTTGCCCTGTGCTTTGTACATTTGCTGTGGTGACTAGTCCTGGGGCTAAGTGAAGCTAAAACAACTGATGAGTTCCCAAAATGGTGATTGATAGATTTTGTGTTTTGTTTACTTTTGATTTTTTTACATTTAGTCCAAGTCTGAAAATTGAAATTGAGGTTGGAAAGAGCAGTTCTGAACTAAATGAAGCTAAAATAGCATTGTTTGGGCAAACCTTGTGGCCAGCACGTTTTGTTTCAATTTCCACTGCATGTCGCATGATGAGGCAGACTCATGTTTTGAATGGGATTTCAAGAGCTCCAAACCCATCTCTACTTCAACTAAGATGAGAAAATCACCAAACCCAAAACACATGTGCTCAGACCACAGGGAAAAGCAGAAGGAAAATCAGATAATTTTCTGAATAGTGGAGAGTAAACTTTGCAGACATTTTCAGTAGCTGTGTTCCACTTATAAAAGCCTGGGTAATTGAAATTTAGCTATGAATGAATCAAACATCCTCCTAAATTTTCTTGATGAAAGTTTCATGTCCTTCAGGGAAGTGGAGAAACTTCTCAGTGTGGCAGCAGCCCATGGGCTCCAGGAAGCTCAGCAACTTTTGGAAAACATCCTCAAGAGCAGAAACCTTCCCTGATTGACTGCTGCAACACCAGTGCTCGTCCAACCTTGCCAACTTAGCAACCCCACTTTCTCCTTGCTGAGTGTCTTTAGGCATTTGAGTCATTCACTGAACATTGCACTTGCTTTGTACTGGATCTCCATGGTCAGATCTATGGCAGTCACGTGTCGCTGCACCTTCTGTTTTCGCTTCCTGGCTCGCCACTTCTGAAGAGCGTGGAAAAGGTGGGGTGGAGGAGACAAATAGCCTTCAGGGTTGCAATGGTGATGGGCTTATGAATGTTTTCAAAAAAACACCACTATGTTTGTACCAACTTATCTGCTAATACTAAGTTCAGTTTAGATCCCAGCGTTCACCTGGACTTGGTGTGAGGTTGCTACACATTTGTGCTACCTGTATTTCATGCTCTGCTTAGGCATTGTGATAACTAATCATGACTAAGCTATAAATCAGCTTTAAACTTTAAACTTTAAACTTAAAGCTTTAAACTAAGCTTTAAATCAGCATGGCATGCATGCACGATGCCATTTGTAATAGAAATGACAGTGATTTAATAGAAAATATAAATGATGCTCTCACTTAATGCTATCATTCCTTATTGGCATTACCATTGTCATGCAAGTTTTGGGGAAAAGTAATTCAGTTTAATGGAAACTGCCTTCATTTTCAGGGTGGTCTTGGTTTAAAACCACAGTGAGCAATTGCATTTCATGGGAAGTGCACTCACTAAACAAAGACCCGCAGCATTTTGCTGGCAATAAAATTGTTTCCCACGGCTGCCTTTGTTGGTGTGCAATCTTTCCCTTCTTGCTACCGTGATTATCCAGCTCACTTGTTGCACACATGAGGTCCTGCGCTCCCCCTGGGTGCCTGAGGCCTCGCTGGTGGGCCTGAGACCCAGGGGTTGCCACTGAGGGAGCAAATGGGACAGCAAGCCCATGGTGGGGGGCCAGGCTTTGGTTTCTGAGAACTGCGTTTCTGCTGTGACTTGTAGGCAAAGATGTGAAGTACTTTGGGCAGGCTCCTATTTTCCTGTCCCATCTTGGGTGTCAGCCTCAATATTTTTCTAGAGTGATGCTGGCAACAACTGGGGTGCGTCCCACAGGCACAACGTGCCAGCACTCAGCGCAGTGGAGGGAGGCAGGGGCTGATGGCCACACATTAGCCAGACTTTGTCTCTTCTTCACCTGACTGTCCCCAGTCTGGGCTCCTCAGGGCCAGTTTTGCATCTTGCTCCCAAGAGGAGAGCACAGAGGGGAGGAGACCTGGGGCCTGGCTATCCTTCTGCCTCCCTCAGCCCTGGCACCATGTGCTGCAGACCAATGCTCTCTGATGCAGTGCAGCTGCCTGCTCCCCCTGCTTGTCTCCTTTCTCTTTCCCTTCTGTGCTCCCTCCCACGCATCCCTTTATTAAATCTGGTACCACAAACTGCACAGGAGAGCAGAGCACCAGGAGATTTTCTCTCTTCCTCAAGCAGAAAAGCAAGACACCATTTTCCAAATATTAAAGGAGCTCATATCGGTGGCCTCTGTAGTGGCTGTGGACTGGTGCCCCGATCTTGCTCCCAAGAGGAGAGCACAGAGGGGAGGAGACCTGGGGCCTGGCTATCCTTCTGCCTCCCTCAGCCCTGGCACCATGTGCTGCAGACCAATGCTCTCTGATGCAGTGCAGCTGCCTGCTCCCCCTGCTTGTCTCCTTTCTCTTTCCCTTCTGTGCTCCCTCTCCACGCATCCCTTTATTAAATCTGGTACCACAAACTGCACAGGAGAGCAGAGCACCAGGAGATTTTCTCTCTTCCTCAAGCAGAAAAGCAAGACACCATTTTCCAAATATTAAAGGAGCTCATATCGGTGGCCTCTGTAGTGGCTGTGGACTGGTGCCCCGAGCCAGGACCCTTAATAGACAGGGGAGTATTTCCCTTGGCATGAAACTTGTGCTGCATTATGTCTGACCTGCTTTTTTTTTTTTTTCTCATGAACGCACATGAGCTGTAGCTCCTGATTTGGAAACTAGACCTATGCTATACATCTCAGATAGAGAGAGACACACCAGTTAAGTGCACTAGGCATCCTTTCCAGGCCTGTGCTACCCTCCTTTTTGTGCCTGTGAGCAGGAAAATGCAGGTTTTTTCCCCATAATGCAGCATCCACTGAGAAAATAATGTGAAGAGCTGTCTCAAAATCCCCACTGAAACTCAGAACCATAGTGTCTTCTGCCACTCCTCTACCCCCGAAATCATCCTCGTTTTCTTCATCCTCCCTAACCACAGCAGCCAATATCAGAGGGACATTCAAGCATGGCTGGGGAGAGCCATATCCCGTAGTACACCTCCACCAACCGGTGATGCCCAAATTCACACCCCTTTCTTATTGCCACTGGGTTCAGGATGATGCTGTAAGTGGCCCAGATATGACATAAGGCACTACCTCAGTGAGCTAAGGTGTACTGACCTGGGTATTTGAGGAGCAAATATGTTGAGAGCCTGGTGGGCAGGGTCATTGTATTTTGCAGTGTGGGTTGACCCTGGTTGGGTGCCAGGTACCTACCAAAGTTGCTCTCTTACTCCCCTCTGCAACTGGACTGGAGAGAGAAAATAGAACGAAAGCCTCATGAGTTGAGATAAGGAGTGGGAGAGATCACTCACTGATTACAGGCAAAACAGACTGAACTTGGGCATATTAACTGAATTTATTACTAACAAAATCAGAGCAGGAAAATGAGAAATAAAATAAATCTTAAAAACACCTACCCCCCAGCAGTGCAGGTAGACAGGGATGGGTGCTGAGGTCAGTTCATCACAGGTTGTTTCTGATGCTGCTTCCTCCTCAGGGAAAGGAGTCCTTCTCCTGCTCCAGTGTGAGGTCCATCCCATAGGAAACAGTTCTCCACAAACTTCTCCAACATGAGTCCTTCCCACAGGCTGCAGTTCTTCACAAACTGCTCCAACATAAGTCACTTTTTGCAGGGTGCAGTCCTTCAGGCACAGGCTGCTCCAGTGCAAGTCTCCCATGAGGACAAATCCTACCAGGAAACCTACTCTAGTGTAGGCTCCTCTCTCCATGGGCCTGCAGGTGCCTGCCAGGACCCTACTCCAGCATGGATTTTCCATGAGTTCACTGTCTCTTTCAGGCACCCACCTGCTCCAGCATGGGTCTCCTCCACAGGCTGCAGATGGATCTCTGCATCCCTGTTGACCTCCATGGGCTGCAGAGGCACAGCTGCTTCACCATGGTCTGCACCAGAGGCTGCAGGGGAATCTCCACTCCAGTGTCTGGAGCATCTCCTCCCCCTCCTTCTCCACTGACCTTGCTTCTGTGTAGTTTTTCCTATCACATATTCTCACTCCTTTCTTCTCTAGCTGCAATTAGATCTGCACAATAACTTTTTTCCTTCTTAAATATGTCATCACAGAGGCATTACGACCATCTCTGTTTGGCTCAGCCTTGACCAGCAGCAGGTCTGTCCTGGAGCCAGCTGGAACTGGCTTCTTGAGGAAGCTTCTAGCAGTTTCTCAAGAAGCCAACCCCATAGCCCCCTCACTGTCAAAACCTGGCCATGCAAACCCAATACACATGGAACTTAAGAAATCACCGTTTTCTGTCCCCCGGTCAAAATGAGTGAGCAGGCTTTTGTATGCTGATCAATTTTCCTACCTGGATAGTGTCACTGCCCAGCACTAAAATGGGCATTAACACTGACCATGAGATTCTGCAGCTACCAGGCAACAAGTCAGCCTCAAGGTTCATGCTGCCTTCACTTCAGTGACAAGCTGTAATTACTATGTTCATTATCTCAAAAAGAGCTGTTTTGGAATATAACATTTTTCCGTTATCTCAGCTGTAGCTTCCTTGCTGATATACATAGTCTTGTACAACAGGCAAGTGACCTGTCATCCAGTGCTGTCCAGGTGGCCTGTTTTTTAATAAAGAGTAGTAAGAGCTTGACAATAAATCACGAGCAACCTCACCATGTTCCAGCAGAAAAAAAATTACTGTTGGTTTAATAAAGCCAGTTATCAAACAGCAGGAAGAAGAGGCCATTGCAACTCAGTGTAGTGCCGAGAATTCACCAGAAAAAGATGTTCACTGGTTTCCTGCAATTTGCAGGTTTAACACTTGTACTTTTACCTTCACACCATGTCCCCTGAGACACGGGTGTTTTCCACCCTAATTGCTGCCCATACAATTTCACCCTGGATTTTCTTTCAGTTTTGAGTTTTGCAGTCAATGGCTGAGAGTCCGCACCCTCACATTCCTCCTGCTTTTTCCTTTTTTCTCCACAGATCTGCCTCGCTCTGGCTGTGCTGGCTGCTGGTAGGTGTGGGCACCCTATCCCCCCTGCAGGGAATAGTCCCTGGTTGTGGAGTGCTTGTCCCGCACAGGACCTCCCTGGCAGCTGCCAGCCCTCTTCTCCTTGGCACTGCCTGTACTCAGGCAATTAGAAGGATTTTCTTTCCCAAAACACAGCTCTAATTATAATCTAATTCATCTTATTTGAAGTACAGTTTGGTAGTATTTCCATTATGCAAATATCAATTTATTATCCTCACATTATGTTTTGACTACAGTTGTGTTCCTAATTAGAGGCAATTTAACTGCTTTTAAAAACCCCATCCTTTCCTCTCCATGCACCCTTACTTCCTTGCAAACCACACAGTACAGACATTTAGCATGGAGTCAGTGATGAAAACCTGCAGTTATCAGCTCCGTTTGCATCACTCTAATTGACTTTCATTATGTTAGAAGCCACTCAGAAAGCATGATTTTTTTCTGATTTACTTGGGATTGGAGGCATGAAAGAGAGCAGGGAACTTACTCCAGCTGCATTTCTAACATTTTTCTGCCCAAACTTTCAGGTGGATTTGGTGTGGCTACCCACTCCCAGTAACTGACCACTCTGTTGCCTTTGGCTGGGGGGGGAAGTTATAATGATATTAATGCTGGTCTGTGAAACACAACAGATTTCTGCCATAAGAGAGAGAAAAGCTGATCTCATGAATTCAACATAAAAAACCCTAAACCAGGCTGCAATGGACGTATTTGTCTGTCCTGCTTGGTCCCATCAGAAGAGGCACTAGGAAACCAGGACAAAAGGCTATGATAGCAGCAATTCCCATCTGCCCTGGTTGAGGGCAATGAGGGGACTGTAGGTTTTGGTCATGGAGGCTGCCCAGCTCGGTGCAGGCCTTAGAATGTGGGCAGAGGAGATTTTCTATGGAGAGAAGTGAGGCAGCCATGGGGACATGTGTGGGTTTAGGGACTAGGCAGTAGGAGTTTATGGAGAGCTGAGCATCTGCCAATTTGTCACCGACATCCTTAGAAATCCCCAGAGTTATTCCTCCCAATGCCTTTTGCAATAACCGTGACTTCTAAGCACTTTTCTGCTGCCACGGCTCAGGGCAGGAAAGGGTCCTACCTGCTATGCAGGTGGCACGAAGGTTTCTGCCTCTCAAAGCATCTCCAGGGCCTACCCTATTTAATATGGCTGGCATGTTTTATGACAACAGAAATGTTGTTTTACCAAACATTTTGAGGAGCTCTCAGAACTTTCCAGAAAGATGACTTTTAGCAGGGGGAAGGGAGCATTACTGCCTGCAATGAAAACCCACCAGAATGATCAAACCCATAGGTGGCTAAAGAAGTGTGCAGCTCTGGCTTTGAAGTGTGTGCTTCAGCAGCAGCTGAACGTTAGGGGTCCCCAGTGGACTTTCAAAAGCTTTGTAAGGGGGGGAAAAAAAAGAAAAAAGAAAAAAGACTGAAGTGTTCCTGAAT